AAAACCCCCAAAAAGGCTTTTTTTTTTTTTTTTTTTTTTTTTTTTTTTTTTTTTTTTTTTTTTTTTTTTTTTGCTAAAAAGCGTTTAGCATTTTGGATCTACTAAATCTCTTAGGCAGCTTTGAAAAGCTCTAAACCCCAGTTGTTCACCAGGCCATGTCTGGAGAGCGAGCAGGAGCAGGAGCAGCAGGACGGATGCAGGAGCAGGATGCCAGGACAGATGGCTGTTCCACGGTTGGAAAAGGTTGCCTTAAGCCTTCTCTGAAATGGCCAGGACTGTGTTCCTGTGCCCTCCCGCCGGTGCCCGGGGCAGCCCGGGCAGGGCAGCTCCCGCCCCGGCTCTGCCTTACGGCGCGGCCGCCGCTGGGGATCCGCGAGAAGAGGGAGGAACCAGCCCCGCGATGTCTGCATCACCCGTGCTGTGGGGGCTGAGACCTCGTCTGGAACTCGAAGCTAACGAAATCCGTCCTTCTTGTGTGTTACGTGTTCAGTTGGTGTAAGCAGGGTTCGTAGGGAAGGGGTGTCTCCTCCTGTTAGGACATTGTGTAAACATTTGCTGTGTGTCGACTGCCTGGGACACGTTGTGTAGTGTGCCTGTGTGTGTGTAACCTGGTTTTGGTTGTTAGGTTGTAATGCTGTCTCTTGAATGAAAAAAAAAAAAATCTAATATAAAGAAAAATCACAAGAAATAATAAAAAAATTATATATATTTAAAATCTATTTTGTGTGTATTCCTCTAAAACCTGCAAAATGCTTTGGTTTTTTAAAAATGCTTTTAAAAGTCAATGGTTTGAGAGACAAATAACAGAAAAACATCTCCGTTGAAGACAAGGACACACAGGAGAGAGGGTGGCACAGGCTGAGGGGTTGGAGGGGATTTTTTCCCCCTCCCCATTACCAAACCTTACAACTTATAGCAGCAGATAATGACAGAGCTAAAGCAGATGTCAATTGCCCTGAGAAAATCCCAGATCAGCCAATCTCTGCAGCATCAGCTGTTTCTCCAAGCAGAGTGTGAGATGTTCTCAGCACCCAGGAGAGGCAGAGATGCCTCCAAGGTAATTAAGGGCTTGGAGATGAGGAGAGGCTGAGAGCTGGGACTGCCCAGCCTGGAGGAGGCTCAGGGAGATCCCCTGAGCCCTGTGTGCAGATTACTGATGGAGGAAGTGCAGAAAACAGAACTGGAACATTCTCAGTGCAGGGACAGGGTGAGAGGCACAAATTGAAGTAAAAAGAAATATCACTTACACATAAGAAAAGGCTTTTTCACTGCAAGGGTGGTTGGCCACAGGAGCAGGTTGAGAGGCTGAGGAGTCTTCATCCTTGGAGATACTCCAAGGAGAGGGGAGACATGGCCATGAGCAGCTTTGGGCAGGGGTGGGATGGGGCTTGCCCAGCCCAGTGGCTGCGCCAGCTCCTCCTGCAGAGGCAAGCTGAGGAGACACCCATGACCCCTCAGCTGCTGGGAAAAGCACTTCAGAGAAATGTTAGATTAGAAACTGGGAATGAAAAAAATAGCTGGGAGTGAGCCTTCATAGCTTTGATAAACCTTCTTATGGGAAAACTAAATTTGGCAGCTGGAGACAAAGCCTAGGGTTATTGGGAGGGATGGAGCTCAGGAGGTGCAGTCCAACATCCTTCTCACAGCGGAGTAAATACTGAATTCAGACCACAGGGCTTTGTTCAGCCAATGCTTGAAATTCTCCAGAGAGAGAGATCCTGCCACTGCATCCCAGGGGGAATAGTTTCTGCTGCTCAGTCAGAAGCTCCTCTCTTTCCATTTGTCCTGGTGGTGTCCATCCCTGTCTCCCAGCCTACATCTCTATAAAATCCTGGCTTCTGCAGAGCCAATGGAGCCCATCTCCCTCAATGCCTCCTTTTGGTCAGCTGTTCCAGCCCCAGGCCATCCTGGTGGCCCTGTCTTGTGTCTCCTCTACATTATCATCTTGTGGTTGGGTGTGAGGTGGGAACCAGGTGATATCATTCCAGATCCCCAAATGCCAGGGGATCACTTCCCTGCCCACAATCTGGCTCAGCTCTCCTCCAGGACTGTGAGCTGCTCCAAAGTCCAGCACTGCTCAGGGGACCAGTACAGGGGCCCTTTGCTCCTTCCAAGGCTCCTTGCCAGTGGTCAGATCTTGCAGTTCTTCTTTCCCAAGGTCAACGTCCCTGTAAATGGTGATCCTGACCTCAAGCCTGTCTACTCCCCACAGGGTGGTATTTCCCACAATCTGAAGCACATCCCCTCTCTTCCCCTGGTTTATTGGGATGTGGACCCTTTTCTCTGAAGACTTTCCAGTTTTGTGGCCTTTGTCCTCATTTTCCAAAGCTTCCCACCCAACCTGAGCAGCAACAGGAGCAGCGAGGCCAAGCACGGAGCAGGGTGAGCCCCAATGGAGAGTGGGGGCCCAGCAAAGACGGGGGGCTCCTGTACCCACATCAGCTGTGCCTGTGCAGGGACAGGAGCAGCCACACTCTGGAGGGAGGATGGAGACACTGAGGAGTGCCTGGAAGCTGCCTGGTGGGAAAGGCCTGGGAGCGTTGGTGACAGCAGCTGAACAAGAGCCTGGTGTGCCCAGGTGGGCAAGAGGCCAGTGACACCTGGCCTGTACCAGCCATGGTGTGGCAGCAGGACCAGGGCAGCGACTGTCCCCTGTGCTGGGCACTGGTGAGGCACCTCCAACCCTGGGGACAGTTTTGGGCCCCTCATGGCAAGAAAGGCATCGAGGGGCTGGAGCGCATCCAGAGAAGGGAACCGGGCTGGGGAAGGGGCTGGAGCACCAGGAGCAGCTGAGAGAGCTGGGAGGGCTCAGCCTGGAGAAAAGAAGACTGAGGGAAACATTCACTCTCCACAACTTCCTGACAGGAGGGTGGAGATGGATGGGGTTGGGCTGTGCTCCCAGGGAACAAGGATGACAGGAAATGGCCTCAAGTTGCACCAAGGGAGGTTCAGGTTGGATATGGGGGAAAATTTCTTCATGGAAAAGCGCTGTCAAGTCCTGGCATGGCTGCCCAGGACAATGGTGGAGTCCCCATCCCTAGAGGGATTTTAAAAACGTGTGGATGCTGCACTTGGGGACATGGGTTAGTGGTGGTCTTGGCTGTGCTAGGGGAAGGGACGAACTTGATGGTTTTAAAGGGCTTTTCGAACCCCAATGATCCTATGACATTGGCCTCAGTGCCTGCCACCTTGTGCACAAATAACTGTGATTATAAAAGCTGACAACTTCTATTTAATAACAATTTATATTTAATCAGCATTTTGAGATACATATTTTTAAATTTCAGCAAGAAAGAGAAGAGGTGGCAGTGTGTGTGCACGGAGCTCGGGCTCCGGGCTCTCCCAGCAGCTGCCAGGAGCAGTGAGCCTGACCTGCCTTCCATGGCAGCACATCCCGAGTGCTGATGGCAGCAGAGCTCTCCAGCCCGAGGGACGCCGGGCTGCTGCCTTTGTCCCGTGCAGCTGGGCCTTTGCCTGCCCTGCGAGCAGCCCTCTGAGGGCAGCCAGGCTGCCGGGGCCGCTCTGCTCCCTGCGAGCCCGGGGACAGCAGGGCGCCCTTCCCGCGGGCCTCGCTCCGCAGGCGCAGCTGCACCGGTTCATTTGTTTGTGGTTAAACAAATTCCTCGCTGAAGCTACATATAAGGAGCTTGCAGGCTCGGAGCTCTAAATAATCCCTCCAATCCTCCTGTTTGGAATGATGCTGCTGTTGCTAATAATAATTCAACGCAATTTATAGGACAATAACATTTATTTGGAGCATGAGGGATTCCACATTATACAAACCCTTAAATTTATTTTTTGTTTCACTGGTCCATTTCTACAACAAATACATCAGGTCAACTATATAATAAAATTATTTACATTTCCAAACAACATGGGATTTGTTTATAAACCCCTTGACTGCTATTCACATACAGTACTTAAACAACAGCACATTACATTATTTTAATACCTAAAAACGACAACCCTGTATTCTAAATTGTTTATGAAAAGTGGAAACAAATAAATTTACAATTGTCTTCCCCTCCCCTTCCATTTCATACAAACACATTACCCTAATGTGCTAACCCTGACTTCACTTTGCAAATCCAGGGGGTTTTAGAAGAACCCAGTTTTTATATCTATTTATCTGTTTTTTAGAAAAAAAAAATCATTTATTTGGAACAGTATAATATTAAAATTACTTACTGTACAGAATTTTATTTAAAAAAGAAAAATCACAGCTCAAAATTGCTATTGGTAAATTCACACTCATTTACAAGTCTCATGTTTCCATGCAGTAATTTACTTGGATTTTCTTCTTTTTGACTGCATTGCACTGGCACTCGTTTCTGAAATCAAGAGAAGAAAAAAAGCATGGATACGCAGTCGGTAAGCCATTCCCCAGAGGGGCACAGATTGCCCTGTCATTTTTCCAAACTCGCACCCGAGCGTGTGTCCCGGCGAGCAGGATTTCCCCACGGCAGGACAGACCGCTGAGCGGCAGGACAGACCGCTGAGCGGCAGGACAGACGCGCAGAGCGCACGGGCTCGGAAAGGAGAGCCACGGTTTGTAACCGTCCCCTGCGTGTCCCAGGAGGAGATGGTGCTACACAACCACTCTGCCACGCCAGTCAACACCCCAGCTGTCTGAGCTCTCAGAAAGTCTTTAGAAAACAAGTCTCTGCAGGGTACACTGAGTCACAGGAACCAGCTGATGCAAAGACACAAATGTTAATACCTGCAGGGCCGTGGTGACAGCAGATGACATGTCCAGTGCACTTACCAAGGCACTAAGTTTCCATTTCAAAACAAAAAAAGAGTAAGGACCAAAGGCATTTGCATCTTTAGATCTTTTTAAAAATGTGATTTTAAATGTTGGCAATGTCTCTTTGGCTCTTCATAATGTTTTCCAAAAACTATTGTAGCTGTGTGTATTTTAAGAGTCAAAAAGGAAAAAAATTTCCAAGCCCATCTAAAATTAGAATAGCAGCAGTACAACTCCACAG